CAACAGTGACTACATGCTCTCTTTCCGAAGGAGGTGAGTGGACAATCACACTGTGGCCAGCATATGATGACACTAATAATGATAAGCAAAACCAAAAACCAAACCATTTCGTTTGGATAAGCAGGGGGTCATCACGAGTCGGCAGCTGACTTGATGGCAGCCGACAACAATGACATGAGGGTTCATAAATGAGGGGAGTAAAGCTACTCTGCATTTATGTAATGTCCCATCTCGGATTACCTTCCAGATACCTAGATCATTCATAAGATGTTGTCTTTCCCTCATTTCAATGTGCACAGATCTCCAAAGGAATTTATTCCACAAATCTCATTTATTCACATTTCCTCAAATTTTAATCGTATATATTTAGTTTCCCTTCAAATATTCTCCTGACAATTTAGATTTTCTAAGATATTTACTTGTAAATCTGAAAGAAGTTTTCCTTTTCCCAGTTTCGTGGCACAGTGGTTAAAGCGCTTAGATGCTAACCTAAAGGTCGGTGGTTTGACCCCACCAGCTACTCCAAGGGAAAAACATGTGGCAGTCTGCTTCCATAAAGATTATAGCCTTGGAAACCCTATGGGACAGTTCTACTCTGTCCTACAGGGTTGCTATGAGTTGGAATCAACTTGACAGCACTGGGTTTACTCTTAAAAAAAAAACAAAAAACAAAAAACCCTACAGCTAGAACTAACACACCCAAAGGTTTATACTTAAAATGTATTGAGGATATGGAATACCAGAAAGTCTTAGAATATTCTGTTTAAAAATGTTTTGAAAAATGTGACCAAATTCTCTATCCTGAGAAGATAGCTTGGAAGTTGAGGGGTAGAGGTGGAGGGAAGCAATTGCTTTGAGTAAAGAAAATGGTGTTGGTCAGTGTCTCTGTTCACGTTTTTGTTACTGCCCTTTCATCCATGCGCTACAATCTGGCCTGGGATCAGAGTTGCTCTTGTTCCTTTGGTGCTTGGGACACTACCTAAGGAAAACACTGCCTCAAAGCTCTGTACCCAAGAGCCTGTCCCTTCTCTCCCTCCCCCGTCTATCTCCAGCTCCTGGTTTCTGACCATCCCATTTGATGCAGTAAGCTGCCCATTGGTGGACAGATTCTAGCCACGGTTTCCTGACCCCCTTCTGGGTTATTCTATGGTGGGTTCCAAGCACTAGGAAGAAAAAGTCTTGGGCAGGTGATTTGCGAGGTTCCAGTCAACTCCTGTCACTAGATATGCCCAAAATCGAGCAAGGATTTGGCTGGAAAGCCAAAGGAAAGAAGGAAGGGTGGGGACTGTGCTTTGTCCTTCTTTGCATAACTCTCCTTCCCATAAACACCCCAGGTGGTGCAGTGCCAGGGATAGATTGGTGCGTTCATTCGCAGCAAAATCTGAATATCTGTTCTTCTATTTTCTGCCTTAATAACAGAAGGAAAAGAAATAGGGAAAGTGCTTTCTGCTCAAGGCAGGACAGAGCTAAATATGTTGTTGTTGTTAGGTGCCATTGAGTCGGTTCCGACTCATTGCAACCCTATATACAACAGAACGAAAACACTGCCCGGTCCTGTGTCATCCTCACAATCGTTGCCATGTTTGAGCCCATTGTTGCAGCCACTGTGTCAACCCATCTCATTGAGAGTCTTCCTCAATATAGGATATAGGAAGATGAAAGTTAACTACCGCATACAACATACACTGTTTAGAGACCCCAAAATCCCAAGCACAGCTCTT